CGCGCCGCGCCGTGGGGGCCAAGGGGCGGCGCGCTGCAGCTTGCAGCCCCCAGCTCCCATCGGCCGCGGATACTGTGGTCACGTCGTTCCCCGGCCATGCCCTGCCGGTTGTTCTCTCATCCTTAGGCAGCTTAGTGGGTTCCTCAGTGCTGTCAGTATTGCCCAGGCAGGTTTTTCCCGGTGTCCAAACTCAGCCCTTCTTAGCCCTGTTGCCACAGCCGTGCCCACCGTGGTGACGCTCAGTTCTGCTGCAGCCACCTCTTGCTCTTCTGCGGATGTGCTGCTGCTGAACTCCTGCTGTGTATAGCAAAGAATTAATTCACCTGCTTCACGAGCTGTAATTCTGTAACGCTTCAAACTGTACATTTGCCTCATTGGCAGCAGGTTGTCACCGTTGACTCGTGCTCAGCTTTGGCAGCCCTTTAGCTCCAGTGGCTTCTTCCTGCAGAATTAGTTGCAGCCTTGATTCCAGAATTAGTTCCAGCCATGTCTCTGTACTTTGTCCCCCCAGCACAGAACTTTGCATTCATCCACATTAAACTTTCTTCTAGTTTTATTCCCTGCTCACATCTCATCTCTACCTTGTGAAGAGTATTTTGAATTATGTTTTCTGCGCATTTACTAAGTCTGAGTGGTACATGATCCGAATTTGGCAGTGTCAGTAATCTGTGTTATCTTTGTAGCTAGCCTCGGAAAAGCAATCAAATATTTCTTCAGGGTACAGTGAATGTTGTAGGCCTGACCACATAGCTAAAAAGCCTGGTTTTAATCAATAGTGGGCAGTCAGGAGTATGGGATAGGGAGGATTTGCAAAGGTAAAGTTCCCTGCTATAGATAAAGGGCTGTGTTACGCTAGAATAAACAAGGCAAGCTCTCTGAGTCTTCTTGAAGCCTTTTTTGCCAGTCATCATAATAGCTCTCTTTCTGTTATTTCTTGCAGTTTAAATTGATCCATTTTGAACAGTTAAACATAACATTTTACACAGTTGCTGGTCAGGCCTCATTAGTATTTTCATGCAGTGGCTTTAATACTAGTTTTGTTCCCTGGAGACAGCTCAGATCACCTGCTATGACCTAGGATCAGCTTAGCTTTTTTTCCTCCTGCATGTCACCTCTTTGGCAGTTCGTTATTGCCTTGTGACATCCAGATGTTCTCCTTGCATCATGTACACAGGGCTGTGGATCTTACTAGTCTTCAGGCACATCACCTTCATACCAGTGCTGTGACCTTCATACCATTGAGTTCCGCGCTGTGGTATCAGTCCAGCTGTGAAGACAGTACCAAACCTCCTGCATAGCAGTGTGACCTTCCTGTGTACGGTACTGTCATCATCTGTCAGACTCCTGTGCTTTCTGGGGATGGGATTTCTGGTTTAGTTTTGTTTTGGCCGGGAACCCTGTAAAGTCTTAAGTAAGGCTACGAACATCAACATTTTTTGTAGAACTTCACTAGAAACCCTGGATCAACTCTTATTTCTTCTTTCAGCTGAGTGTGTTGTCGTCTTCCTGTCAACGTATTGCTCCCTTTACAATTATTATACGTTTTAAATTATTTTCTCATTTGTTTGTGGCACAATATTGTATGCTTTTCTGAGGACAGCTTGACTTTTGGGAGGTCTCAACTTTGTATTCCTGCTAACTGTGATGACAGGCAGTTCTGGCTTTTCTGTCTCCACTGTAGAAAGCAGTTCAGGTAGACTTTCCTCTTGCACAACTTTTTTCAAGCTGCTAAGCAGTATCAGTTAAGACAATATATAATTTCCCTGGCTACTATTTTACTAGTAGTATTATTTTCTGTCATCCCCCCTAAGTTGTTTTCTCCACTTTGTTTCCCTTCTCAGGCTGTAGCTATTACACTTGCAGTCCTCAAGAAGAAAAGGAGCTGAGAAAATAAAAGTGTAGAAGAGTTTGAGTATTAGATTTCACTAGAGTGCCTCTTCCTAAGCATGTCTTAAGGAATGTCTTGTCAGGGAGCTTATGTGAGTCAATGATCACAGGCTATGTGGACACCTTTCTACCATGAAGGAAAAGAGAGTAGACAAGACTGGAGGCAGTGCTCTCTTTTTTTCCTTTTAGAAGGCTGAAGTTGGGAGAGGAGTACTAGGTGGAAAATCACACCTGGTCCTCATAACTGTACCAACCACAAACATAGTTGCTGCCCCCCTTTCGTCTTTCAAGCCATTGAATCTTTCATCCCAGCTCAAGGAATAGACTTTGCACTTACAGGAAGAGTAATCAAGGTGTATCTTTCTTGCAACAACAGATCTGTTTAAGAAGTAATTACTTGGAGAAATTATCTACCCAAGTCAGGAGACACTTACTCTGAATTTCTCTGCTTTTCTCTAAATGCTTACATCTTTCACAGTTATACAAAAGCTAGAAAGTAATAGTTGTAATTTAGGGTTTAGCGTGTGTTTCCTTGGCAAGCAGCTACGATGGCTTAAAATATTACTGTTCTCTCTCTCCTGGCGGTTAGTACCCACATGGACATGTGAGATCTCTCAAGCTTTGTTAGTGCTGACCACTTTCCATGGCAATTCAAGCTGAAATGCTCGTAACAAGTAGGTGAGAAGGATGGTAATGTCTTCAACCAAGTATATTAACATGTCTCTGGTAATCTCTTCCACAGCATTTAAGTTTTTGTGGGTGTTACATTGTGCTATATTGCAGAGTTGTTTTGTCTTCCGCTGTGAAGAGCTTTTAAATAAATAGTAACACCAAAGGCCTTTGTGTATAACTTTTATTATCCTGTCATTGGGGTGTGCAGTAAAGGCATGCTGGCATTAGTTGCAGAGTTGGTGATTATGTTTTGCCATCCTTAAGCTTGAATAGTTTTTTTAATAGCTGTACATATACGCGTGTAAGAGTTTTCATTACAGATTTCTACCAATCCCTAAGAAACCGCTATCACAACTTAGTTCTAAGATGATGTCAATTGAAACTGTTGTTTTGGGAATTCACAGGGTCAATGATTTGAAGACTGGTACACTAGTAGGAACTGACAAATATGGAAACAGATACTATGAAGACAAAAGAAACTTCTTTGGTATGTGTACTAATGCGAACACCTCCTGACTGACTGTCCAACCTTGTGTAGTTTCTGCTGGTGAAATAAAACTTGCTGTCTGCCTGACTTCCTCACCCTTGATTTGTGTGAGTCTTAAAGAGGGGCAAGAGATGCTTTGACATCTTCTGTCTCTCTCTTGTTTCCCTCAGTTCCTTTGCCAACATAGTCAATCTGAAATATAGGACAAACTTAAGCCAGTCAGATGCTTTCCGTATGGGTGTGCTTATATGATAACGTGATTGAGAGCTGAATTTGGTCCTTAAACTAAAAGCTGATAGCTTAAGAGGTAGGGGAAGAGAGAGAAATGACTTTAAAACTGCCTTAAAGCTGAACTTACTTGTATGAACATTTCATGGCAAAGGAACAAAGATTAGCTTAAACTTTCTGTTACTTTACGTAATGGGATTTTAAACAGCATTTGTAGAGTACTTAAAAAAGTTGCACCTGAAATAACAAAGATGGAAAGTGATGTGTAAGCAATTGACATGCTGGTTAGGCTAAGCTCTGCTTGCTGTAGGTTAACTTGTAGGGTACCTGGAGAAAGCAGCTGCTGGTAAACATTGCTTGGTAGTTTTATATGGCTGAAACTTAGTTTAATCTTTGGCTACTAATGGCAGTGTCCTTTTGGAAAAGACTTCTCCCAAGAAACTGTTTCTCTGCCTGAAAATTTTTTAAGTTCCTATTTCCCATTACTTACAAAATAGTTAATACTTGCTTCCTTGTCAGGGCATTAAATACAGCCATATCAAAGTACAGTAACAGTGGAAGTATGGAAGACTTAGAAAAATAAAAGCTGTACAGACTTTGAAATAAGTACCCATAATGGTAGATACTTTTTGTGAAAATACTTTTCCTTGTTCTCCATAAGAAAAGAATTTGGTTTTTTGAGCTAATACAATATTCCTGTTTGTTTACTTAAGGTCGCCACAGATGGGTCATCTATACTAATGAAATGAATGGCAAAAATACGTTTTGGGAAGTTGATGGAAGCATGGTGCCCCCTGAATGGTAAACCATTTAGCTTAATAATGTGGACAGACACCAATTGTGTAATTGCCTGTGTATTTTCTTGTATTACAAAGCAGAAGGTTAAAAAAATGAATTATAGTAATAAAGTTTTCTTGGGTGCAGCTATCTTATATATGGCCAGAAGATTTCAGACTGGTTACTTTTAATTTTAACCCGCATTCATAATGTTATATTGCCCACTGTCCTAACTGTCACACTCACAGAATTTTGCCAGCCAGATTGAGCAGGTGAAGCCAGTCTTCCAATTTTCCTTGTTAGTTGTGATTCCATCTTAATGGTTTGGCAAAGTCTACAATAGCATTGAGTAGCCAGAGGGAGAAAAAATACTTTAAATTATCCATTCTAGACAAGAACCAAAGAAGGTAAGACACTGATTGAACAGCATTCCTTATTCTGCAGCCATTAACAGCATAATTGTTTCAGTGGATATACCTTCATACTCTACAAGATGATGAACAGCAAATGGCCAGGGTGCTCGGTATGTTGACTACTACCTGACTGTATTTTTTCTTCAGGTTTTATTTTCTGTTCATACATTTCAGTAATAACTCAGTACAACCTTGAGTTCCAGCCCATCTCTGGCCACACAACTGCTAATACTTTTTTTGTCTTCCTAAATGTCTCAGGAAAAACACACCCCAAATAAAGTAACAGTATATGCTAGCAAAACGAATCTCCACCTGATTCTTGGGGAGTATGAATAGCACTTCAGCCACAAAGCAATGAAAGATGGTATGAACTTAGAGGTGCTTGGGTAGACTGAGCATTGGTGAACACTGGTTTTTATTGTTCCTGTGATGGATGTTCTGCACAAGGCTGAGATTGATTATCTACACTCCTAATTCGTGGCTGTCATTAGAACATTTGAGAAATGTGTGGGTAGATTGTCTAGGTAGTCAATTTTGCTTCAAATTTTCCCAGCATTAAAATTATATTTAATGCAGTGAATGCTTTTTTCTGTCTTCTCCAGCAAAAGCTTAATGACCTTGTTTTTCAGAAGTGACACCAGAATCTCCAAAACCAGGATGTTCCTGCCAGTGCGGGGCTGTTCCTTGTTACCTGCATAATCATTGTTGGTTTTATCCATGCACTATTAGATTGTGTCAGTTTTCAAGATGTTGCTTATTTTGAAGCACCCTTTTTTGTTGTTTTTTCTTTTCTTTGCTCATGCTTATGTGTTGGTTATTGTGTGCTTACAGACCTCATAAAAGGTTTCTTCCTGAGTATCAAAGTGATGTTTCTAGGATCGAGTAGCTTGTTTAGATCACATAAGTTAGTGAGGTAGAAAACCTTACTTTCTTATCAATGTGTTAAAAATTGCCCTAGAAGAAACAGTAACATTTAATTATTTTCAAGACTGGTCAGTGCAGGGGGCATGAAAGGATAAACAGTCCTGTCTCCTCAGGTATTTTCTCAGGAAACTTAGTTGTGCAGTACTGTTCAGGTTTTGGGTATTTTTTTTTGATTGCTGATAAATTTGTATGTCCCATGGCAACCTTGCATGTTTATTCTTATGTAGGAGTCCTAGTTTGTGACACATCTAAATCACTGGTGTGTAATTTTGTACTGCTTAGATACATCTTTAAAAACAGAAATATTTTGGCTAGGAATAAATGCTGCTTTTTAAGACTTTATTTATTTTCATCCGATGATATACTATCTTAAATTTTTGAAATGGCATAAACTTCTGAACTGAGACTATGTAATGTTAATGTATTGTACAAGTTTCTGTCAGTGTCACACTGGGATTGTGCAACTACAGAGGAAATGAGTGGGTTTACTGGACCCAGAAATGTCTTGGAAATAAATTAGGTTGTGTGAAGTTACTTCTGTAAACAAAGAGATGAATTTGGTCTCTAGTATAATTGTATCTGTCATGTCAGTTGTAAAAAATGTTTCTATCTTAAAGCACTACTCCTGCCTTCAACAGATGAAGAGCTTGGTATCCTTGGTCAGCTGGGAAGCATATAAAGTACCACTGTAACAGCTGAATTGTGATCTGAATACTGATTCTAAACGCTAATTTTTCATTCCAGGATTTAGTTAACTCAGCTCAGCAGAGCATTTTGCGGGTATGTTGTTGTACTCTCTGCAGGTAGAAGCAGGTTTTACTATTGTTTATGCTGGTGTTACTTTCAGAAGATATTTTGGAACAGTCATGCCTAAAGATGACACTTTAACCAAATTGACCAGAGCTAACCTAGAGATTTTCAATTTTGCTTTTTTAAATAGTAATGCTAACTAGTTTGTAATGCTTTTGCAGTGCTCTTATAAAAATCCTACTGTATGTAGGATCACACTACTGATTATCTTAGTGATTACACTAGTTTCTTGGGAGGAATAGAGAACACTAGCGGATGTGCAGGAAAAACACTCCCTTTTTTCTGTGCATCTTAAAGAATAGTTGTGTGTAGCTTCAGGGTTATAGAATATGAATGATTGTTGAAATACAGTCAGGTGGACCTCACCATGCGTGATGAATTGGAAGAAAGCATTTCGGTGTATTGGAAAGTTCTGAAAACAACTGTCTGGAAATATAAAATGAGAATTCGTTTAGCTACCCTTTACCTTCTGTCAGATACTAGAGAAAAGGAAAAAGCGTCAAGAAAAAACATCTCATGTAATAACATATTGTAGTAGCATTTTTAGGAACCACTGACTATTTTCAGTATTCTGAAATAATTGATGTAATGTCTTCTGACAACGGATGTACTGAAATCACAGTCTGAAGGAAATCAAAAGAGTTGTTTTGACATATGTCTACTCTACAGGGAATTGAGACTTGCTTTTTTAAAAAATATTGCCATGCAAGAATATGTAGGCTTGTAGTTTATTCTGATTTAGTTGTGTTACTTAACTCTTTGTTACTCTGTGTTTTCTTTTCAAAGATTCTGGGAGGTTCAGCTTGAGCCTGCTTGGAGGCGGGGGAGTGTGAAACGTGGAAATCAATTTTCCACTTTCAGTGGGATTATGCTTTGGAGTAAGGCTTCCTTTGGAGAGTCCAAAGTCCATGCAAGTCAAGCCCTGATATCCTAGGTGCTAGCTGTGCTTCTCTTGCATAGACACGCAGAGTCTTTTCATGGCTCTCCGCCCACCATCCATTTACCATTTATCTGGTTTAATGTAAGCTGATGTGTGTTTTGGCCAAATACTTTGAAGAACAGATTGACAACTGCTTTATGTAAACAGATGAGTTAAAAATAATTTGCTCTTTCAATATGTTATGCCCAGTGGTAAGAAGAACTGTAATTTGAGAAGAGTTTCCTCCTTTTGCAGGGGCACTTCGTTTTGCCAGTGCTGTCCTATGTATACATAATGTCTGTCCTCTACTTTGATGTTTAATTCCTTATGGTGTAAATCTGACATATTTGGAAGGAGCTTCAGGGATGCTAACTTTGTATGATGGAATAGTTAAAATTCAACTTCAGTTTAATAACCTACATCCTCTTTAGTTAATCTGACAGCTGAAGGAGGAAGGAATGTAGCATCTCAGATTTACAAGTGCCAGTATACTAAGAAATATAAAGAAATGTGCTAATTCTCCTGTAAAGCTGCTGCTTTTCAAGTCTGCCTCCAAGGAAAACAAACAAAAAGATTGAGCAGAAAAGGAGGGGGGTAAAATTTCCGTCCTTTCAGTAGCTTCACAATAAATTTGTGGGATTTATAACTACATTAAAAGCTACTGTGTTGTTTTCAGGTAAATGGGATGCTGTCTCATTACTATGCAATGGTATCTTACAGCAGCATGCATGAGAAATCAAGGTGAATCTCCCATGTGCAAACAAATAAAAACATGTTTCTTGTCCCTTTTTACTTCTCTTTCCATTCTGCTCTGCCCTTTGTCCATAACACACATCTTCACTTGTGTCCTATTGCAGCATGGTTAACTTGTTGAAAAAAGTGGATGCTAACCAGTTGGCAAACATCCTGAACTTACGTAGACACTGCCTGAACCTTGCAGATGCACATATGGTAGTAGCTATGGAGTTTGTGTAGCATCAGTTCTTGTTTGACAGCTTGTACATCATATAATTGGCTCTATTCCCTTGTAGCTTCAGTTTGAAACTTCCTTGCTTTTAAATATTTGTTTGAGACTTGGGAGAAAATTCCTACAGAGTCTTGAGAGCATTTGACAATAACTGTCATCTATCTACCCAAGGAAAAGGCCAGAGACTTTGCTAGCCTCAGTCTGCTTGGTAGTGACTTTGCTCTGTGATTCAGGAAGCTGCTTCAGCTTCCTCAGAGCTTCTGCTATCCTACTGATTTTCTTTGCTCTGTGTAAGTTGTCTTCTTTTTTGTAGGTTTTAAGTCCTTAATTGCTTTTGAATCCTTTTTTCCATGCGTGGATTTATAGGCAGAGTTTATATGGAAATCTGGCCATCTGCAAGATGTCAAATCTCTTTATTCATGCTGTACAGTGTAGTGTATGAAAAGCTTTTCTTGATCATCTGAGAAAAGAGTCAGACATTAGGGCTTCAAAGGACTCTTTGAGGAAGGTTGTCAAGGGGAAAGTCTTCCCAAATTGAAGTTTTCAGATTTACATATTTTTGCTTAAGTGGAGAGTGGGAGCTTTTGTTTGAGACAACAGATTCTGTGCAAGCCAAAATGCTTTTGTCAATAACATGGTGGGCGTCTGAGGGGAATCATGACCAGGCTTAAACCCTGAAACTCTGGTTTCTGCCAGCTTTGATGCTAGCCATCACAGGACACATGATACCTCAGGTGGTGTGAAGTGCATTAGTACGCAATTCTGATGGGCATGAATTGGAAGAAGGAGTTCACTAAGGTCAGAGCTTTGTATAATGTGGCTAGGGCATTTCAGAGGCTGGTAATACCAGGTTTAAAATCAAGTGAGGCCTGGTCCTGTATCCTAGGATCACACGTGGTTTGTAGTGCTATGGGGGTGCCTTCTTCCAGACAGAAATCATTACCCCAAATCTTTTTTAATAGAAGTAGTGGAAATGTGTACTTTAAATTATACCAGATTTACAAAGGAGAGTGTGGAGAGGAAGGGAGGGATCCCCTTCCCATTCATTTTCCCATTTCATATATATAGAATCATAGAATAGTTAGGGTTGGAAAGGACCTTAAGATCATCTAGCTCCAACCCCCCTGCCATAAGCAGGGACACCACACACTAAACTATGTCGCCCAAGGCTCTGTCCAGCCTGGCCTTGAACACCTCCAGGGTTGGAGCATTCACAACTTCCTTGGGCAACCTATTCCAGTGCCTCACCACCCTCACTGTGAAGAACTTCTTCCTTATATCTAACCTAAACTTCCTCTGTTTAAGTTTAAAGCCATTACCCCTTGTCCTACCACTACAGTCCCTCCCCAGCATCCTTGTTGGCCCCCTTCAGATATTGGAAGGCTGCTCAGAGGTCTCCACGCAGCCTTCTCTTCTCCAGGCTGAACAGCCCCAACTTTCTCAGCCTGTCTTCATACGGGAGGTGCTCCAGCCCCCTGATCAGCCTCGTGGCCCTCCTCTGGACTTGCTCCAGCAGCTCCATGTCCTTTTTATGTTGAGGACACCAGAACTGGACACAATACTCCAAGTGAGGCCTCACAAGAGCAGAGGAGATATAACTTCCAAATTCCTAAGTGGATGATTTTTCCTATGGGTGGCCATTCTTTACCTCCAAACAAGTTGTTTTTTCTTACTTTGAAAGGATTTTACAGTTCCATCTGGTATTCAAGCCAGTTTCCTGGCAGTCCTTAGTCTTTTAACTTGTGGCTTTCGTTTGGGGTTTTTGGTTTTTTACCTCTAGAAAATGAACATGTGGCTGACTTTTTAAAGTGAGATTTAGTACTAAAGTTATATCCGAAGTTGTGATTTTTACTTTTTCTGAAATGTCTAGTAGTTACTTGACTGGAAAGATGATCAACCTTCTGTAGAGCTCTTCAGATTTAGAATATACTTGTCAGTCTGTTTCTTGCTGCTTTCATTGAGGTTTTGTTTTGCTCTATCAAAGAAGTGTGCCAGATTTGTTGCTAAAGGCTGAAGATGCAATTTTTAGGCTTTCTAATAATAACTGAAATAGACGACTTCTTATTTTTAGGTCGAGTCTTTGACAAAAGCTGATTAGTAGAAGCCTCTTTAATTCTACCTCAGTAAAAAATACATAAGCTTGCAAAAAAAGTCATAACCTCACTTCTGTCAACTGTGCATGCAGTATGAAGAACTGGCGGATAATTAAAATGTTATTCAGGTTTGAAAGTTGCTTTGGGCACTGAAGTAGAAATGGGATGAAATCAATTCAGTTGATCCCTGCTGTAGTGTTCCAGTAAATTGTTATGGAAGTACTTTTCTTGATCATTAATGTTGTTTGCACAAGGGAGGATTGGCATTTAGTTCATAGGTAAAGGATAATCACTATAATCACTTGGTAATTACCCCATTCCTGATTGGTGTTAATCATTTCATTGTGCACTTAGTAAACATTTACGTGGCTATTGTAGGTGAACATGCACCATTAATTCATATCCCAAGTGGTAGCCTTATGAATGCTTTGGAGTTGGTACTGAAATTGTCGTGCAGCATAGTCTTCTGGAGATTAAAACCAAACCAAACCAAAAACCTAAAACCCAACACAAAAAAACCAATCAAACAAACAAACAAAAACCAAAAAAAACCCCAGACAATAAAACAAGACCTTGTGGTTTTGTCATTTTGACCTGGCTGGCTGGTTAAGGCTATACAAACAGGTAGCAATGAAATAGTCTGCTCAAATACTGAGCATACAAAGGAACAGGAAATTCAAACTTGAGTGTGCTTTCAGTTGCTTAGAAGCAGAACTCTTATTTATTGGTTATGTTTGTGTAATTACTTTAAATCAGTATTTCCTAGTCTCATTCAAAGTCCTACTGGATAAAAATTACACTACCACTACCCCCCAAATAAATCCTTAGTGTTTCTTCAGAGGAGAACCCTTGGGAGGAGGGCTTGTTACACGTCATGTAGTGTTCCTTTATGACGGTGTGTCTTTTTCGTCTTAAGGCATCGCTGGCTTCACTCAATGACGGATGACCCTCCAACTACTCATCCACCAGTTGCTCGGAAATTTATCTGGGAGAACCATCAATTCAATCTGAGTGGCACTCCCGGACAGTATGTACCTTACTCCACTACTCGTAAGAAGATACAAGAGTGGGTCCCGCCTACAACAGCTAGCAAATAACAGCAAAAAACGTGACTTTGCCTTAGCTTTGGCTTTCAGCATAAATTGTATTTTCACTGGTTTTATTCAGAATAAAAGCCTCCTACAACAGCTTTAATTTAGTGTATTGAATTGAGGGGGAAAACATTTGGAAGAGGTAGAGGACAGAACACATGAGAAGTCTTAATCTCATCAAGATACTGGGCTTTTTGTCATATTGTCAGTGGCTCTTGTCTTCACATAAGCAGCTCTCAAACTCTTTTTAGCATGATAACCATTCCTGTGAGTCACTTCTCACATTTGTACCATTCAAAAGAATACAAATATAAACTCGAAATTCAGGATTCTGATATTTAACATTTATCCTAGTATAATTTCTGCATGGCAAATAATGTACTATTCATGTACTATTTTAGGAAGCCATCTCTTTGAATATTTATAAGACAAGTTAGAATAATAAGGCCAATCAAGGATTATAGTTTTTATTCATAAATTTTTTGTGCATGAGTATACATGCATTGCTGTATTAAAATATGATAAAAACTTGTAAGGCTACAGTGATCAAGTGACATGTCACCCCTTAAGGGAACTTGGCCGTATGCAGAAGGCCCCCTGTCACAAATACCTTTTTTTGTTACTTACTGTATTACTGAGATTCATTGGAAGATGGTCTCACAAGAGTTTGGGATGGGCTATTTGCCCTTTTGTGACAAGACTTTGGAGATCTTGGGTAGTTTGAGGATACACACTTTTTTTGGGAGGTGGAGAAGTACAATGTACCAGAACCTATTTTCAAAATTGTGAAGTTTGCAAGTTCACATTTGAGAGCTTCTTGGGGCTGTGGCTCTCTTCTTGCAGGTGGTTGGTTCTTATTCCAGCCTGCCTGTATTTTTTAGCAGAGCTGCCCTTTCCACAAGGCCTCCTGTATGATTGATAACCTTGTCTGTAGATAGCTGATGGAGGTGGGATGCCCACCCAGCCCCTCGCTCACACCACCTCCTCAACTGGACGGGGGAGAAAACAGAAAGCTGGTGGGCTGAGGTAATGATGTGGAGACTGCTTGCCAGTTACCATCATGAGCAAAAGAGTCTTTCGTTTATTGCCAATTAAATAGATTTGCACGGTGAGAAACAAAGGCAAAAAAATGTAATGTGTGATGGTTTTGCCCTTCTTCAAATGCTCTTTCCCAGAGGTGCCGCCATCTTGTCTTCAGGGCTCAGCCGTGCCCTGCGGTGGGTCAGTTGGAACCGGCTGC